GAGGAACTATTTTGGCACAAGCAGCTTGCTATCAACTGCTAACCCAGAGGTTGGCAATTTGAACCCACCCAGTCAGTGGCTCCTTGGAAGAAATGCCTGGTAACTGCTTCCTTAAAGAAGCGCATGTAACAGGTGGTGTCAATATGAGTTGGTGGCCAACTCAATGGCAGTGAACAACAACAGCAACCATCATCTCCTATCCATCCAGGGAGAGGTGCCTTAGGGGATGGGAGATCACATCACGTTCCTAAAGGGTCTTTCACTTGCATTATTACCTATGAGTATATTCATGACAAGGTCCCTGGGGGGGCACAAATGGTTTGTTCTCATCTCTTAATTGAAAGGTTTGCGATTGGAGCCCACCCAGGCATTGCTGCAGGAGAAAGGCTTAGCAATCTGCTTCTGGAAATACTACAGCCAAGAAAACCCTATGGAGCAGTTCTACTCTGTAACACATGAGGTCACTGTGAGTCAGAATCGACTCCAAGGCCGTTGTTTTTGTTGTATGCTGTTGAGCTGATTCTGACTCACAGCCACCCTATATGGCAACACGGTTATATTCATGATATAATGTCAACTGAGGAGGGTATGTGGTATGGAGGGGGTTTCAAATGGGAGATAATGAATCACATTGAAATCTAATGCAAATGCTCTTTAAGGGAGGGCACTTATGGATGAAAGGAGCCCTGGTGGCACAGTGGTTGATCTTTGGGCCACTAACCAAAAGGTCAGAGGTTCGGACCCAGCAGCGCCTCCACAAGAGAAAGACCTGGCAATCTGCTTCCTGAAAGATTACAGCCTAGGAAACACTATGGAGCAGTTCTGTTCTGTCCAGTAGGGTCACCATGGGTCAGAATGAACTCGATGGCAACGAGTTTCTTCTTTTTTTTTTTTTTTTTTGGTATTCATGGATGTAGGTAGTGCAATTAGTGGAAATGACAGAGTAGAAGCTGTTTCAGTGGTGTCTGTGTTCACCTAGAACTGCAGGTTAAGACAATCTCCTGCACATTGACAGCTCCCCACTTCTAGTATTGCACCTGTTTGGAATCCACTATACCTGTGCAGGTACATTAACAAAAGTTAGTACAGTAATATCACTCAAGGACATAAGGAAATTTACTAATTATATAACCTAGCAGAAGGTAAAGGGAATTTTAATATAATATATATTAAAATTATATATATATAATTTTATATATATAATTTCATGTAATCAGAATAATAAAGAACACAATTGATGACATGATAGTACATTGAAAATATAAAATGTGGAATAGATATCATGATGTTGACTGGAAAATATTCAAATATTTGGAAATTAACACCCCCCCTAAGTATCCCATAAGTCAAAGAAAAAATCAGATGGTAAACTAGAAAATATTTGAAACTGAAGGAAAATGAAAACAGCACATAAAAATCTGTGAGATTCAATAATATACAGTAGGCAAGGAAATACAACATCTAATGAAAAGAAAATACGTGTGTGTGTATTGAAAAAGTCAATCATCATTATTCACAGATTCCATATTTACAAGTTTGCTTACTTGCTAAAATTTATTTGTAACCTCCAAATCAATAATTGTGGCACTTTTGTGGTTATTTGTGTGAAAAATGAGTCACCTGATGTGCACGTTATTAGCGAAGGTTAAACAAGGCAATGTTCTGCCTTCTTGTTTCAGCTCTTATACTGTAGACAAGTGTGCTTTACACATTATATTTAGTGGCACTTTTTTTGCATTTTTGTTGGTTATTTTGCTGTTTAAAATGGTCCCCAAAGGTAGTGCTGAAGTGCTGTTCACTGTTCTAAGTGTAAGAAGGCTGTGATGTGCCATATAGAGAAAAATGTGTTTGATAAGCTTCATTCAGACATAAATTATAATATTGTTTTTCATGAGTTCAATGTTAATGAATCAATGATATATATTTATATATTTTAATGGATCAGTGATATACACATATGTATTGATATATATATGTTAATATCTATGATACGTCTTTAAACAGAAACACACATTAAAGAAGGTTACGTATTAATTGGTTGAGGTCCTTTGGTGGCACAGAGGGTTTCAGTTTGACTGCTAATCTAAAGGTTGGTGGTTGGAACCCACCCAGCTGTACCATGGAAGAAAAGTCCTGGCTATCTGCTTCTGTTCTGTGGTCTCCTGCTCCCACTCTTTTTCAGGAAATATCCCTCTTTGCATTGCTGCATTCATCTTGGTTCACCTTGCAAAGTGCTAATATTAAATTAGCCAAAAGGACTATATTTTCTGAGCTGATTCATATGGCTGAGACTTTTGGAGAAAACAAGCCCCATCACCATTTCACTGGCCTTTGTCCAACCCTGACTCTGGAGCAAGTGCTGCTCCAGAGCCCGTGCATTTGACCCTGGGCAATTCTGCTCAGTCTGTGTCCCTTTCATGGGCTTCCAACACTTTCGTGTTCAATCTCTCAGCAGCCCTGTGAGGGAGGCAGTGATTCTCCCCACTATTGCTGCCGAGGAAACTGAGACATAGAGATTACATCACTTGCCCAAATCAAAATGCCAGTGAGAGGCCGAGCCTGATTCTGACCCAGGAAATCTGACCACAGATGGTGTGCTTTTTTCCAAGGCGTGTGTCGTTGCCTTCTGCGAGGAGGAGTCACATCCACCTTGTAAATAATTGTATTTCCAGCCCTCAGTTTAGAGCCTGGCACATTATCATCACTGAGAAAACATTTGTTTAAAGGAAGCAAGAAGAGTAATGAATAAATGAATGGGCCTGATCATCCTAGCTGGAATGACCACTCATCTTTCTTCCAGTTTTTTTTTTTTGAGCCCTGGTGGCCCAGTGGTTAAGAGCTAGGCTACTAATCAAAAGGTCGGCAGTTCACATCCACCAGCTGCTCCCTGGAAACCCTATGAGGCAGTTCTATTCTGTCCTTTACGGTCGCTATGAGTCGGAATCACTTCCTCAGCAATGGGTTTTTTACTGGGTGGGAGTCTGGAGTCAACTGTTGGTGCCTTAACTCCAGGGCACAGCTGAGACATTACAGCTGCAGTGACCATGACTTCTTAGTTTCTGAACTCCATGCTTCATTTTGAGGTCCATCCCCATGTTACTGTAGCCAGCATTGCACACTATTCAGCACTATCTAGGGGTCCCTGAACGGTGTAAACAGTTAAGCGCTTGACTCCTAGCTGAAAGGTTGGTGGTTCTCACTCATCCAGAGGCACTGCAGAAGACCAGGCAATCTGCTTCTGAAAGGTCACAGCCTTGAAAATCCTATGGAGCAGACTTTCTCTGCACATATGGATCACCATGATTCAAAATCACTGGGATTGCAACTAACTACAATAACAGCAACAACAACAAAAATAATGTAAAAAATAAAACAAAATAAATAAACAATTAAAAATAAAAAATTTGAATAATTAAGATAAATAAATAAATACAGAAATTCAAATAAAATAAAATAAATGAACTCAATAAATATAAAGTAAATAAAATGAATTAAGTTAAATAAGTTCAACAAAATAAATTTAAGTAAAATACAATAAAGGAAATTAAATAAATTAATTACATAACAGTAAAATAAGTAAATTTAAATAAAATAAAGCAAGTAAACTAAATAAATACATTAAATAAATTAAAATAATTAATTTGAAGTATAATAAATTAAAATAAAACACAACAAATAAAAACAAAATAAATAAAAATTAATAGAATAATAACAACATCTATAACAGAAATTCCGGTAGTAGGTGGCTTTTAAAGAACAAAATTTAACTTACTGAACTTAGTATACCTCTAACAACTTAAACAAATACTTTTCTCAGAGTAATTGTCAGAATTTTAAACCACGTGCTGTTGTATCCATGATGGAGCTATTTATAGCACAGCTGGATTAAGTAAAAGAGATCCTAAGAGTGTTAAAACCTAATTCATAATACAGAGCCTTGCTTTTCTTGGAAAGTTAGACTTTTTTTTGGTTTGTTTTTTAGTTTTTCATTCAAAAATTTATATACAAATTGTTTTGTGACATTGGTTGCAATGCCCACAATGTGTCAGCACTCTCCCCGTTTCCCTTTTCACCCCAAGTTCCTCCAGTCTCTGTCAGACCGGTAAGTCTGCTCTTTTTTTGTGAATTTGAAGTTTGTTCTACGTTTTTCTTCTGCTTTGTTCAGGACTGTCTATTGTGATCTCTGTCATAGCAGTAGGAGGTGGTACCCTTGCATCATCTAGTTCTTCTGGGCTTAGGCTGGAGGAGGCTTGTTCATGTGGTCCATTAGTCCTTTGGACTAATATTTTCTTTATGTCTTTGCTTTTCTTCATTCTCCTTTGTTCCAAACGTGATGGGACCAATAGATATATCTTAGATGGCCACTGGTAAGCTTTTAAGACCCCAGACGCTACTCACCAAAGTAGAATGTAGAACATTTTTTTCATGAACTATGTTATGCCAGTTGACCTAGATGTCCCCCGAGACCATGGTCCCCAGCTCTCAGCCCCAGTACCTACGTCCCTCAAGGTGTTTGGATGTGTGTAGGAAGCTTCTATAACTTTCCCTTGTTCAAGTTGTGCTGACTTCCCCAATATTGTGTGTTGTCTTTCCCGTCACCAAAGTTAACACTTGTCTACTATCTAGTTATTGATTTCCCCTCCGTACTCTTCCCCTCCCTCAAAGATTGTTTTTTTTCTGTGTGTAAGCCTTTTCCTGGGTTTTTATAATAGTGGTGTCATACAATATCTATCCTTTTGTGATTTAAATATTTCACTCAGCATAATGTCCTCCAGATTCTTCCATGTTGTGAGAAGTTTTGCAGATTCATCATTGTTCTTTATCTTTGCATAGTATTCCATTGTGTGCATGTACCATAATCTGTTTATCCATTCATGAGCACTTAGGTTGTTTCCATCTTTTTACTATTGTGAGTAATGATGCAATGAACATGGATGTGCATATGTCTATTCATGTGGTGGCTCTTATTTCTCTAGGATATATTCCTAGAAGTGGGATTGCTGAATCACATGGTATTTCTATTACTAGTTTTTTAAGGAGATGCCATATTGTTTTCCGTAGTGGGTGTACCATTTTACATTTCCACCAGCAGTGCATAAGAGTTCCAGTCTCACTAAAACCTCTCCAACTTTTGTTATTTGCTGTTTTTTCTGATTAGTGCCGGTAATGTTGGGGTAAGATGGTATCTCATTGTAGTTTTGACTTGCATTTCTCTAATGGCTAATAATTGAGAGCGTTTCCTCATGAGTCTGTTGGCCTCCTGAATGCCTTCTTTGGTGAAGTGTCAGTTCATATCCATTGCCCATTTTTGATAAGATTATTTGTCTTTTTGTTGTTGAGGTGTTGAAGTATTCTATAGATTTTAGAGATGAGACATTTGTTGGATATGTCCTAGCCAAAAAATTTTTCCCTGTCTATATGTTCTCTTTTTACTCTTTTAGTTAGTCTTTTGATGACCACGTGTGTTTAATTTTTAGGAGCTCCTGGTTATCTAGATTATCTTCTAATGTTTGAGCATTGTTAGCTATGGTTTGGATTGTATTTATGCTACGTATTAGGGCCCCTAGTATTGTCCTATTTTTTCTTCCACGATCTTTATTATTTTATATTTAGGTCTTTGATCCATTTTGAGTTAGTTTTTGTGTATGTTGTGAAGTATGGGTTCTGTTTTGTTTTTTTACAGATGGACATCTAGTTCTGCCAGCACCGTTTGTTAAAAATACTATCTTTCCCCTCCCATTTTTAATGGACTTTGGTCCTTTGTCAAAGATCAGCTGACCATATGCAGATGGATTTACATCTGCATTCTCAATTATATTCCATTGGTCTATGTGTCTGTCATTGTGCCAGTACCAGGATGTTTTGACTAAATGGCTGAGATTTTATGTTTTTGATTATAACAGAAGATTGGCAAAAAAAGAGGAGAGCCCCAAAGAAAATTTCACAAACTCTTTGGAAGATAATGTTTTATTCTCTGTGATTTTCATAGTGTCACAAATCATAACTGCTACCTTCTCTCTCTTTTAGGGCTGAGCTCATCTACTTGCTGCCGTAGAACTCACTGAGAGGCAATTTCAGAGTAAATTACACACCAAGGGGAGAACATATTAGGAAAAATGTGGTAGAGCCAAGATGGCCGTGCTTACCTTTACACTGAGAGGGTGCTGACTGCCTAGGGGAGGGGGGCAGGTCAAAGTAGATAAGGAATTTCTCTCTTTTGTGGCTTTATTTTATTTCCTTAAAAATTCAGTTCAATCTTACTAAACTATATTCTCACATAGAATTGTTATTTGTTGTTTTTAGTTGCTGTTGATTTGGCTGTGACTCATGGTGTCCCCACATACAACAGAACAAAATATTGCCCAGTCCTGGGCCATCTTCATGATCGCTGGTAGGTTTGAATTCATTGTTGTGGCTATTGTGTCAATCCACCTCATTGGAGGTTTCTCACTGATGAATACAAAGTAGGAATTGGGATGGAGAATGACCCTCGGCTAGGATGTTTAACACTTTCTAAGTGATTTAGATTTACACATTTGCAAGGATTAATGTTTGTTTTATATGAAAGATATCAACCATTTCCTGGTTGTAATTGTTGGGTGAAATGAGTCAAAGAAATGAAAAGGCCTTTACAGACTAGAACATGAACATGGATGCCTGAAATATTTAAGGACTATGTGTATTTTTATAAAAATGGAAGAGGTCAGTGGTCCCTAAAGTGTGGTCCAAGCATCAGCAGCATCAACATCAACTAGAAACGTGGTTGTTGTTGTTGTTGGGTGCCAGCAAGTCAATTCCTACTCTTAGTGATCCTATAGGACAGAGTAGAACTGCCCGCATAGGGTTTCCTAAGCTTTAATGTTTCGGGAACATATCAGCAGGTCATTCTCCCTCAGAGTGGCTGGATGGATTGGAATTGCTGACCGTTAGGTTAGCAGCCAAGCACTTAACTATTGCACCACTAAGGTTCCTAAGGATTGAGTCAGAAACATACATTTTTTTGCCCCGCCCCAGACTCAATCAGAACCTCTGGAGATGGAACCTAGCAACCTGTGTCAGGAAATAAAATACAAATCGAGGGATTCCATAGATAAATCATAAAACACTTTCCCAAAATACCCAATTGTCTTAGTTATCTCGTGCTGCTATAACAGAAATTCCACAAGTGAGTGGTTTTAATGAACAGAAGTTTATTTTCAGCCAGTTTAGGGGTTAGAAGTCTGAATACAGGGCGCTGGCTCTGTTGTTGTTGTTAGGTGCCATCCAGTGGTTCTGATTCATAGCAACCCTCTGTATGACAGAATGAAACACTGCCCTATCCTGTGCCATCCTCACAACAATTGCTATATTTGAGCCCATGGTTGCAGCCACTGTGTCAGTCCA